TTTTCACTTTCATAGTTTTATCTTCAGCAGCTTGTATTTTTAACTGTCTTAGATGTTCATAGAAATGTTTTTACCAGCTTGTAGCCAAGATTCTGATGTTTCTGTAGATACAAACATGTCTATGTTGAACTAAAACAACTCGTTGTATAAAGTAGAAAACCAGGAGTTTGGTTTTAACAGATGAATGAACCAATTGGTGGGTCAGACTTTGGTCCACCAGTTGAATGGTCCTGATCTAAATAAAGTGTAAGCTAAATGAAAGCTAAATGCAGCAAACAGTTAGCTAAAACCTAAAAGTATTAAAATACTAGTAGAAAGCCAGAAAAAACAGCAAAAGGTTGGCAAAAACTAAACGCATCTAAACAGTGACTAAAAGCTGAAAGTAGTAAAATACTAGTTAAAAGCCATAAATGCAGCAAAAGCAAAACCTAATAGTGACCAATAAAGCCAAACATAGAGCAAATACAGTAATGCTGAAGCATATTTCAAAAAGAATAATAATTTTAAAGGGACTGAAGTGATTGAAATGTATTTCTGTGGAGGACATATTTGTAAATTGTTATATAAAGTGAAAAATGTAAAAGAAAATAAAGTTACAAGAAAACAAGTGAATTCATAAATGAGCTGAAGGGTTTAATGTATAAAATGTTAAAATAAAACAAACGCTGCAGACGTAGGTAGGTGGTAAAATATGAATGAAAAATTACAAAAACAGAAAAACAATAAATTAGATGTTGAACCAGTTTTCACATTTTGCTCTTAAACATGCAAACTGGTTGGTAACTGGACCGGGTCTGCCATCAGACCTGGTTCCACAGGGCAGGGGTACACTAACAGCTACAGTCAAGAGTCGAGATGTCGAAAGCAAAACAGTCCAAAGTGTGGTGTCACTTTACAAAATAAGACGCAGAAACTTCCACCTACAACAAATGTTTTAAGAATATTTGGTGCAAAGACAAATTATTAATGGTTTTAAGTTAATAAGTTGGTCCATTTCAAGTTTGACTTTGACTCAGAAATAGTTATTGCTTCATAAACCTCTGTGTGAGTCTGTGTGAGTTTTATTTATTTATTTATTTA